GGAAAACCATATCGGTAAATCGTTCATTTGCAAAATATCAGTCCATCATATTGAACTGGACTGTTCCTGTTGCAAAACATCAATCCATTGTCTGACATTTCACTATTCATGCGTTTCATACAAATTCCATTGTGTTCCCACTCTTCCTTTATTGATCTTCCCCCATCTTCGGCTGCCAGACATTACGTTTTCACTCGCGTCATATACTACTTATAAGTAGCTCGCACCACACTGCTACTACTACTACTGTTGTTTTTGGTGTTTTGATTGTTACTGGTGCTCTTTCAATCAAATATGACATTGTTCTTTATCATGTGACCATTATGACTATTCATTGGTATTTAAGATGTTTGATGTAATGTTTTTAGAAAATTTATAACAGACAATGAGTTATATATAAATATATACGTGATATGGAGTTACTTATAGTGTGGTGTGTGCTACTTATACGAACGATATAAGTAGTACACACCACAATAGTAGTGAATGTAATTTTCATCCAATAAGAAGTTTGAACATTGTTTTGGTTGGGGACGTTCGATTCCTAGAACTCACTTGGAAAAATTTCATAATCTAGTCATTTTATCCTAGAATTTCGAATTTCTAAGTTTTTGGCGCCAAAGACGCTTATAATGACCTTCAGCTAATATTTCTCACTCGGAATATCCATGACTGTCATTGATTGATGGATTATTTTAGTACGCTATTTTGTGGCTTTCACCGAGGGTGTCTTTATCATTGTATAAATAAGCTTGATTTGTATGTTTGTGGACCTAGTATTTTCTGAGTGTGAAACGGGTGAGGAAAGCAAAACATGGCGTCGACAGTTCATTGAAACACTGACTACAAGAGATTAAACTATTTCGATTATGGATTATCATTGGACATTAAGCTAATAAGGCTAATAATCATTTATCATGGTGAGAATACGCCAATGTTGGGAAGCATCACTGATGAGCAACATGGATCTGATGCAGATGAGAAGGCGTGAATCGGTAAAGAAACAGCAGCATTTCTACAATTGAAAGAAATCTGGAACTCAACACAACTATCGAACAACACCCAAGTCACAATTTTCGATACAAAGGTGAAGACAGTTCTACTGTATGGAGTGGAAACTTGAAGAACTACGAAAGCCATCATCCACAAGATACAAATGTTTATTAGCAGTTGTCCACACAAAATACTTCGGATCTACCGGCCGAACACCATCAGCACCAATGTACTGTGGGTGAGAACAAACCAGATTCCAGTGGAGGAAGAAATCAGGAAGAAGCAGTGGAAGAGGATTGGACATACACCGTAAAAAGCACCCAACTGTGTCACAAGACAAACCCTCACATGGAACCCTCAAGGACAAAGGAAAAGAGGAAGACCAAGGAACTCAATACGCCGAGCATTGGAGACAGACATGAGAAGAATGAACAAGACATTGGACAGGACTGGAAAGTGAAGACTGACGACAGAGTAGGTTGGTGAATGCTGGTCGGCGACCTATGCTCCATTGTGGGCTAAGAGACGTAAGTAAGTAAGTAAGTAAGAATAGGCCAATGGTTTTCTGGCCTCGTATTCCCGGTTCATTAGTTCCATGATACACAATTTTATGTCAAAATAATAATTTCTTATGCTATGGTGTAGCTGGAACTGTGAAATTCATGGTGTATGTGTACATTTCTATTTGGTGTTTTTTTGGAATTAAAATTTGACTGACCAGAATGATAGTTGACAATGTTCACACATGCTTTTTGCATCAAAATTTTGTCAACAAACTATTGTTTATAATCTCTGTATTGTATTTATTGAGCGCTGTAATGTAAATTCAAATTTTTCAATGAATTTTCATTTATTGATGTGGGGTTTTGTGTAGATTGTCGATTGATCTCAGTGATTATAAAAGCCAAGAAGAAGAACTGAAAAGTTTGTTGTTTTGTCTCAGTATGAGGCTGTTGACTGAGATAGTACGCTTACACGACTTTACCACATGGGACCTTCGAATGTTTTTCAGGATGTGTATAACCTTTACATCACTGAACCAGTCAGTATACAACAGTTCACATGCCTAACTTCAGTCTAGTTTCAGTGTAATTAATGACAATGTTATGATCAGATGAAATGTTAACATGTATCAACAAAATACATACATCTAATCCTTAGTCAGTCAGTTACAACGAAGAACTTTGTACGTACATACATTAAGTTACGGTTGTAGTACAACTTTAGCACAGAGACGTAGAAGTATTAGCAATGATCGGAGAGATTAGCGTTCAAAGATATGATTCAAGAAGTATGAGCCAGTGAAATAGATTTGTAAAGAGAAAGATAATGGTACTGATGAATTCAGAATACTAGAATTCGAGAGAATACAAAGAATGGATGCGCCTGCACCGTTGCAAGCGATTTTCAGCCGTGTCATTTTAAGGTCTCTAACCGCCGGTTATTACAATCAGTTACCAACATGACTCAATCCTCTTGTCAGTAACTTCGTGGATGTGTGCCATGTTTTGGTTTGGTCGCACCTAACTTTCTTTCACCCTACTCTTACGCCACAAAACATCGCTCTCCGAAGCAGATGTCTATTTTAAACAACAATCAGTTTACTGACTATCTTCTTCAACATAAGCCATGCATTTTGATCTCTAGAAATTCACTGCTCTGTTCAATAGTGACTTCTTGACAACATTAGTTTTATAAGACTGTCACGCCACTGTCACATAAATTCCGATATTGCCATAATAGGACTAGAGAACTAACTGTACAGTTAGTTCTTCGCCGTTTGCCATCATTCTCTAACTGAGATCAAAAACACATCAACAAGGAGAATAGCATTTTTCAATTAGTGGTATGGAGATTGGTGTTTCCTTTCTTCACATTTGAAATCATCAATCTATCATTCACTGGACAGCCATACTGCTGATGAGTAATCCCATACAAAGGACGAAACAGCCGTCTTTCAGTGCTTCCAAGTTTCTAATGGTGGGTGATCTAACAATGATTGATTGATTGATTGATCAGTTCAAAATGTGCCTTATTGCATTGGCCTTTCTTAAATTTTTAATCTGATTTCGAAATTTTTCACGCTCTCACTCTCCACTTATTTTCTCTACAATTTGTATGTAGATGAATAAACTTTTGACCAAAGAACTGAACAAAGAATAAAATGTTGTACATTCTTCATTGAAATGAACAATAATTCCAGAACACATACACACACACACAGACAAAAGAAACCACAGCAAAACACTATCTTCATTCGCTTTTTCCTCTTCACAACAAAATCGATCAACGAAATCAATGCTAGGAGTGATATGTGGTACAGCTTCCCAAGTGCTTTCTGCCTTTCTATAGTTTTCATTCACTTTCAAAACTTCTTCATCTGATCTGATCTGATCTGATCTGATCTGATCTTGTTTTTTGATCATGTATACACACACACTCCCTCTCTTCCTCATTTATCGATCACAATCACTGTGTACTTTCTTTTTGTACTGAACAATTAGAAATCATATAAGTAGTATTTTTATTTTGTCATATATATATAAAGATTCTTCAATTGATTCATTCATTCATCTGACGACACCTTCATTGTTTTACTCTTTCTTTGTCACTCACTACTCATCATCATCATATTTTCCTCTTTCATGATTTTACAGTATTTTCTTCTATCCTGTAAATTTTGATGACACATTGTTGTTGTAGATTTGATATTCCTACTTTTTTTTCCAAAAAAAAAAAAACGTTTTACTCCGAAACAATTATTGAAACATTGAACCAGTGTAGAGATTTGTTTTAAATTGCGCGCGCATTATACACAAATTGACTTGATTGTGTACAATAGTCAGAGATTAAAACAACAACAAGAGACAAGAGAAACTTTATACAAAGTTGGGTTTTTTCTCTTTTGACCATCATTATCCTCATGATGATGTGTCTTCTAATCTTTCCTCTTGCACATAGATTCCTGTTTGTTTGTGTGTGGGTGTGTGTGTGTATGAGTATGTATTTTGTAATTTCTGTACAACTGCTGCTACTACTGCTACTGTCATTATTATTCAATGAACTGGATATCATTTACAGTACACAAACTATTACTGTGTAGGTGAATAAAAAATGTCTTCTATTTTCTACATATTTTTCTATTAACGAGACATAAAAAGGTGGCTGATCCATTTTGTGTGGGTGTGAGTGTGAGTGTGTTAGTCTGACTCTAGGTCAGTAGAGTTATGTGTATCATTGATGACCTTCTAATGTGTCATGTGATGTGATGTGATGTGGTGTGGTGTGGTGTGGTTGATTGCTGTAAATTTTCAACGCCTGATCTTCTTCTATGCTGTTGATGATGATAAATTTTTGTTTAATGATTTTTTTTTAAAACTTTTCATAAAAACAAAAATAATATTGTTGTTCATTCTACTTTTTGATTCAATAAAAAAATTTTAGTTATATTTTTTATACTACTTGAATTCAAGTGTGTTTCATTGTATTTATTTGAATGTCATTTTCTGTGTGTGATGTTTATCTTCGCTGAACACAAACAAGTATTGGGATATTTGTGTAGTGTGCCGATTTATTGCGTGTTCTTAAGCTCGGTTTATAAATCAGAAGATGAACTCGTATTGATGAATACGTTTATTCGGCACACACCACAAAGCGAAGCGGAGAAGAGAATTGGAGAAGGCTAAGAGCCAACTCAAAGAGATAGAACATGACTAAGAATATATAGTCAGATAAAAATAAGACAGACATATGGACAAGCGAAATAGGTATGCACACACATGAATAAAAGCGACAAATGATTGACAAGGTCAAAAGCAAGCGATACAAATCATGTGAGCTCATGGGAATATTACGAGATTAACATTAAAGCGAAAAGGATGAGTAAGCGCGTAGGCGTAAACAATGCTCAGTCGTATAAGCTCAAACAAATCAGATAATAACAAATACCAATGGTACATATGGGTTGTTGCTATACAAATGGCTTGGTTACAAAAGTTAATCAAAAGGCTCAATCAAATTAAATATGAGCGAACTCAAGTGTATATGGAGGCACTACATTTGCATGCAGGACTTCATGAACTGTAGTAATCTCGGAACTAATCAGTGTAATCAATCATTGTGGATAATTATTGTTTCATCCTGGTGTGAGACTCTTCACCCGTGTGCGCACCCTGTGTATGTGGGGATAAAAAAACACAGGTCGGTTGGTTTTGCACACGAACTACTGGTTACTATATCTCGATCAGTGAGCGGGCATGCAACAGTGTTATTAATACGACAGATAACTGTTTCACACTCGATAAGGAAATAAGCACACCCATGATCACAGATTCTCACTAAAATTCTAGGCATACACCTTGAGGTCAGTCAGTCACTAGTGAGTACATGATCGTTACTACTGAAGAGGTTTTATGAAAATTGTATGATTCTCACAGTTGAAATCATAAATTGATCTGAGGTAGACCATTATTAAAAACCTGAAAGTCATTCTGTTCTAGTATAACAAAACGTATCCAGTAGTTACATTAATTAAATCTCATAGAATTTGCGCCTTTATATTGTAAAGTGGAAATATAAAGACAAGTTGGTCAAGAACAAACAAGTCACTGCATTGAAATGGTACTTACCTCAAAAAAAAAACAGTGTCATCTTTCAATTGTTAGTATGAATAATCATGCTGAAACAGTATAAACCGCTGATTGAATCGTTAACAATCTTATTCAAGAATATATCTGTGACCATTTTAATAAAACATAGTTGAATGTATCGATTGGAATATGAGGGATTAGGAGTGACGTTTATGTTTCCAGTCTTGGATTAGAATGAAAGATTTCAGAATTTACATTGAGGTGTTTACGAAAATTGATCGTAATCGAAACAGAGAAATGTTTATTCCAGTTTTAACTCAAACCTTATAATATTACAGTCTTAATCTCTTGCCTTAAACTCTTTATTACTTATTGACTTACTTACCTACGAACTCCGCCTGGAGCCCCTAAGAGGGTACTGCCGGTTCCAAGCCGGGATCATCGAGGCGGGTTCGACGTGGAGTTGGCGGCCCCATCCCATTAAGAGCGAACTCGCTAAAATAAGCGCTAACCAGAAAAATCGATTCAAACCATTTTAACTCTGCCCTGGGCGCTAGAAGATCTTCGTTCAGAAACGTAATGAAGGCTCATGATCAAAGCCGAGTTCCTTAGGAAGTCATCAGGCCGATGCCCCTTATGATAACCAGAGCAACCATTGTTTTGAGTGCAAACCAGATTCCATCAGAGGAGGAAACCAAGAAGAAGAGGTGGAATTGGATAGCATAGACGCTGTGGAAAGCAGTCAACTGCGTCTCAAGACAAATCCTCCAGCTCAAAGGAAAAAAGGAAGGGCATTACGCCGAGGAACTAGAGATAGATATGAGAAGAATGAACAACTATTGGACAGAATTGGAAAGAGAAGCTCAGGACAGAGTAGGTTGAAGAATGCTGGTCGGTGGCTTATTCCTTATTGAAGGTGAGAGGCGTAAGTAAGTGCTTACTTTACTTACTTAGGCCTATTACCCCTTTTGGACAGCAGAATCAATGTAAGAATAGGAAAATCAATAAGCACTGTACAAAAAAGTAACTAAGTCTTAAGTGAATGATTGATGTAGTCGGAAGACACGTCAATAACACAGGGACAATGGATTAATAATTTGTCCGAAAACTTCGGGACAAGCCGTGTACTCACAACATACAGGTACATATTACATACCCACTTGCAGGAACAAATGGTGGGTGATTGGTCAACCTAATTCAGTCATCCAGACAGAAGGATACAACACAGAACTTCGTAAATAAGTACATCAGTTTAGGTTGCCATACCACATCAGCACAGAGATGCAACTGTCAGTTCAAATCCAAGAGTGATAGCGATAGTAGAAGTATTAGCAGTAATGGAGAAGATTAGGGAGCGAAGATATGATTCGAGAAGTATAATTCAGTAAGATAAATTTAGAAGGAGAAAGACAGAGATTATGAGGAATGCCGAAGCTTAGTATTTCATAGAACACAAAGAGTGGATGCACCTGCGCAATCGCAAAACGGTTCTGAGCCATGTCATTCAAGGTATCTAACCACCGTTGACTATCGTCTCGTGGACCCCAACCACGTAGCTTACATCTACCAACATGTCTCAGTCCACTTGTCAGTGACTTCATGGATTTCTGCCATGTTTTCGTTTGGCCGCCCCTAGCTTTCTCCCAATCTACTCCCACACTGCAAAACATAGCTCGTCGAGGCAGTCGGTGTTTAGGCATACGCAGCACAGGACCCAACCACCTCAACTGATGAAGTTTCACTACTTCATCTACTGATTTGCCATCCTTACCTACTACTCGTTTCCTAACGACAGAATTGCTTATACGGTTGTCCTAGGATACACGAGCAATGCTTCGGAGACATCGATAATCGACTACTAGTAACCTACGAAAGTCCTCTACTCTTAACGGCCATGTTTCGCATCCATACAGTAGGACAGAGCGAACTGCTGCACAGCACACTCGTCCCTTTGGTCAGCAAACGGATATCTCGACGCAGGTTGTCAAAATCCAATCGAGCCTTCTGTATCCATGCTGAGATTTCAGTCATCCACATTTCAATGACTAATAATCTGCTTTCTAACTGAGCAACAATTCCATTCGTTTTATGATTTAGGCAGCAATCAGTGATATTCTACTGATCGTTCAATTATACAATGAATGTATTAGACACAGTTAAACTGATTTGCTGTTGTTATAAGAAATCTTTAGAAAAAAATTGTAACGTTTGCATAATTAGAAAATCCACTAAATACTACTCATAAAATAGCATATAAGTAGTAGTATACAGAGGAGCGTTGCCTAGTAGTAGCTACCGGAGAGAGAGAAGAGTGTCGAATTGGTGAAATACTTGACATGATCAAGATGTTTTGAAGACATGAAAGAAGAAGACAGAAAGTAGTCTAATTGTTTCGCAAATGGATGTCTGGAGAAATTATTCGGTGTACATATCTTGTAAGTAAAATATATTTTCTCTAGAGGATACTATATATTCTATCTTATCTTGACTTCCATCTACGTCACAATAGGTCAATCTATTTTTAAAAATTATTGTCATACCTAGATGGGAAGTTTAATGGGTGTCAACTAGTAGATACTGGCTAAGTGATTGAGGCTGCATTTCTACAGTTGAAAAATATCTGGAATTCCAAACAACTTTCAACCAAAACCAAAATCAGCATTTTCAATACAAATGTCAAGACAGTTCTACTGTATGGAGCGAAAACTTGGTGAACTACTAAAGGCATC